ATAGGGATACAGGTGAACCTATTTTCCATGTGGTTTATTTTGAAACCATGTTTATTATCAGCTTCCACAAGAATTCTTGACAAGGAGTTCCAAATTTAGTTACGTTAAAGAGTAACCTCTTTATCTTTTTAAACCTATTGATTTAATTAGTACTTTTGAAAAATATTACAAGAGGTAAAGCATATTGGTAGTAAATTATTGAGCAAAACTTGGAGGGTAGCTGTCGGGAAGCAAAAAGTGGACATGGGGGAGATATTTGGCAATACAGTAATTTACAAAGAGATACGATAGATATCTGCAGTTTTTAGACAGAAGTCTAAACCGGGACTGAATAAAACACTGCGATATGTTTTGCAAAGAACAGGTAACCAGTGGTGGGGATAGGTTGTTTTTATAAGAAACCTTTGCCAGTTAAAAGTGGTACAGGGAGGCAGAGATTCTCTCTCTCAAATTTGGGAGAGATTGAAAAAGATGCAGAAGTGCTTTTGTTTGCAGACAGGAGGAACTGAGAGTTTGCAGACGAGTGCTTTGCTTTTGTGCAGGGTGGCAGCAGTTCAGCACAGATGCACTTACACAAGTGACTGGTGGCTTGCATCTGGAACAGGTTGCCCAGAGAAGCTGTGGATGCCCCATCCCTGGAAGTGTTCAAGGCCAGGCTGGCTGAGGCTTTGAGCAACCTGGTCTAGTGGAAGGTGTCCCTGCCCATGGCAGGGGGGTTGGAACTAGATGATCTTTAAGGTCCCTTCCAACCCAAACCATTCTGTGATTCTGTGACACCCCTGGTGCAGATAAAGCCTTACATTTTCCATACTTTGCACATCTGTAAGATCTCTGCAACTCATTAGTTTAGTTGAGTGATTTTAAATGACTTGCAGCAAGTCATAGAATCATAGAATACTATGATTCTGTGATGGGAGAAGATCAGTGAACTAAGTTAACAGTGTAGTTTTTAAATACACTGTGTGTGCTACTTCCAGCAGTATTTTGGATTAAAATATCTCAGTGCTGTAATACAATCTGTGCAACTTTACTGACAGCAAAACCTGCAATCCTATTTGTGTGTATGAACCATTGGCATTTTGACCACTTTCTGATATAAACCTGCCCATATAGCAATTGTCATTACAGTAATTAAAATTGTATTTGCCTGTTTGCATTAGGGCTTCCACCTTTGCTAACACAAATGTACTTTGATAGAGGTTAAGCATAGTGCTGTCCTACAAGAATCTGGAACATGAGAGTATCATGAAATCATCTCTGTATTTTCTCCATATTCTCAATAAAATCTAGGTCCCAAGCTGATAACGTTGATAAGTGACTTGAAGAAAGTTGCAGTTGCCAGAAAGTTGCCATATTCATATTTTTGTAAGAAACACAAATACCAGTCTTTAATTTCTGACCTGTGCTCTAGTGAATCGATTACTACCCTGCCTGTTTTTTTTTCCCCTTGATTATAATGACAGTAGTCATATAAAAGAAAGAAGCTGCCAATTGAAGGGGAATTTTCAGATGCTTCATTAGTACATGCATTTAATGTAACTGCAATACATATTGAAGCCAATTGGTTAAAATATAGATGATCATAAAGACTGAGATATAGCAAATGTATTTTCAAATAAATGTTTTCTCATCCCGTGGAAACACGCCACTTTCATCTAACTAAATATTGTCCCATAATTTTGAAATTAACTAAATATCTGGCATGTTTTCCATATCTCAGACAATCTGTCCTTCAGATGGTTGCTGCCACTTCAACATTAATGTCAAGCAAGTAGCAGTTTGTCACAACTCAGCTCTGCATAATGGTGGAAACTGTTTCAGATGAGAACATTTATCTGCAGATATGTGATCCAATCAGATGACTGTGATAAAAAAATCCCTGACACATAAGACTATGAAAAATACTAGATAATTGAACCTGATATGTTTTCCAGATAAGTTGCAGCTGAATCAGAATGATTGGAGTACACTTTGGGATGGGAGGGCTGGGGAGAGATTAGACAGAGATAAGTGGAGTGGAACACTCACATGAAGGTGTAATTAAAGCTGAGGATCTGCCTGTGGCTTTCCTGCAGTCTTGAAAACAAGGAGGAGTTTGGCAGTAAGAATCAAGAAATGCCTGAGATTCTATCGCCGTAACTCATGGAAGGGTTCCACTGGCAGGGATTTGCTTTTTCTTGCTGCTTGTTTTTTTATGCTGGTATTATGGAGGCTTGATGGAAGAAATAAACTAGGTGAAGACAGAATAAAGATTAGGTCATTAGTCATTATTAGGTTTTTAAATACAAGTAATGGAATAATACTCACTTTCTGAGGATCGAAGCAAATTCTTACTATGCCTAAATTCCAAGAACAGACTTGATTTCTTCTGTGGTATGCACTGGACAGAGAGATTATTTAATCCTGTCTAATCTTAAACTCTAGAACATAGGAACATTGAAGAGCAGTTTTCATAACTTTGTTTTATTTACAGTTTGTTTTGAAAATAGTAAAAATGTTGTTCAATCTTGGATTTGTGATGAGCAGTTTGTGAGTTGTTATGTAATAATGGAGTAATTCATGCGTTTTCAATTGAAGTGGAAGTTGGATCTGCTGATAACCCCTAAGTTATGAAGACGTTTTTAAGAGCTGTAGCTAAACTGAAATGCGTAACTGTAAATTTAAACTTTTGCAGTGTATTGCATCCTTGATTTGTAATGCTTAATCTTAGATGCGTAAATATTATATAAATAATATAGTCTATTTAAATGTGTATCAGTATAAATCAAGCTATTAACTTCTGTTTTTCCAGATAATTTCCTGTTATAGGGTTGCCATTACTGCTTCTACCAAAACTCTTTATCCTCCTTTAGCAGTGAGAGCACACACTTGGGTGTTGAGTACGCAAATCTCATACTGTATCAAGAGCCAATTCTAAATACTGACATCATTCTAGAATGTATAAACAGTGTTTTCTGAGTTCTTGAAGAGTAATATTTCATGATATGGCATTAGCTTTGGTAGAGCAGCATTTTTCTGTGTCATTATTGGGGGAAAAGCACAGCTTGAATGCCTGTGGCACTGTGAGCTGCTTGTGAGAGTTTACTGCCGTACTGGAACTACATTGTCCATTTTTTGGTCTTGTATTGGACATGGGTTATATGGGCCATGTTTTGTAGACCCAAAGGATTCCCTAGTAAAGAGATACCTTTCAGGGGACCAAAGAAAACCCACAAAAACAAGACACCCACAAACAAAACAACGCTTAAGCATTCCTTTGTAAATTAACTGTGCATAAAACATCAGAACGCCACAGTGCAGAGACAATCTGATGCTTGGTAGATTTTAGTTAAATTAACAGTTTTAAAGCTATTGTTGCCTATCAAAAGATTGAATGCTTTTGTAGCTAATAAAGGCAAAGCAAGATGAGGAAATAATCCCAAGGAAGGCATGTTCAAAACAAGTGTTTTGCTTCCTGGTCTGCCGCCAAAAGCAGGACAGTTTTTTATTCGTTTGGTTACTTTTGGTAATGTTTACTGGAAGAAGGAATCCGGGTTTAGAATTAATTGGACAAAGTAAATGAGAATTTCTTCTTATTTACTGCATTACTAAATACTTTTTAAATGCCAGGCAATGCACGAGGCAACTGTTTTAATGTACCTGTTATTTTCTAAAAAAAAAGAAGCTGTTATAAAAGTTAATTTCAGGCAATCGAGTTTCTTTAACTAAAACCAAACAAATTGTTCTTAGAAGTATGGGTAAGAAGTAAATTAATTATCTGAAAAAAAATGTTAGCAAAGAAACAAATACATTGTTTCCCAGTTTAGCACTAGCTCTTTTGTTAGAATAGAATGTTCTTCTTTATCCTTCTTTTTCATCTGAGAATTCTTTTGCATTTTGGCTTGCTTCTGTGGAGAAAAGCTATTGGTGAACGGTTGCTCATTTTACCGTGTGCAGAGAAAGGACAGAACAGGGTTATAAAAAAAGCTGAGTTACAACATTTGTGTGGAATAAAGATTTGTTTGTTGCTGGTGACATCAGATGCCTAACTTAGAGTAATGAGTAATACTGTAATTCTGATCTAGAAATTAGTGGAAATTAAAAGATTAGGTATTGATGTCTGTTATATTTAGAGGTCCACATCCACAATATTCCGTGAAGGAAATATCCGTGATACTGGTAATTCTGTAGTTTGTCCATACTTCTTCTATCAATTTTGTTGCTCTCAAAATATTTTTTTTTGGTTTTCATGTTTTCTTCTTGGATGCCGGTAAGAAAGTGCAAATACAGAAACGAATAAAAGGTGATGTGCACAAACAGGCAGGATTTTAGGGTTCAATATCCGCTGAATTTAATTTTTTGCTCTTCTGGAAGAGAATTTAATTAAAAAGATTCCATTTTAATACTGTAATGACAGGCTCTTCCTAACAGAGTCCTTCAGAATTAAACAATAAATGAAGAGCTAACATAAACCAAAAGGTTACGGCCGCCTTCTGTTTGTCTTTTTGACTGTGTTGGCTGCATCTGTTCAGCTGGTATTTGAGGAGGTCTAGCACAAAACTGCTTCTCCACCAGAGGTAATTTACTCTGCTTAAAGGGTTCTTTTTTTGCACTGCCCCAACTTCTTAATTTAGTTTTCTCTTGGAAACTTCATAACAATCCAAGCAAAATTTTCTTAAGTTGTTTAAAATCAGGAACAATAACTTAAAAATAAATTTGAAAGAAACTTACCGGTCTGTCCTCATGCTTGATTTACTTAAGGAATATTGATGGCGCAGTAATTTAGCCAGTTCATACTGTCTACGAATTATTTTTGAATTTCACAGATGGGGATTTTCACTCTTAAACACGCTAAATAAATTACTGTATTTAAACAGTAACACATGATTATTTGAAAGTTAGCATAAAATGAAGAAGTCCTTTTTTTTGAATCCTCTGTTGGTTTTGGAATATTTGTACGCATAAGTAACTTTGTCATGTGGGAAAGCATAGCATTAATCCTGTTTTTCTCTCGCCTGCAGGGCAGCACAACTATTTATGTGCTGGAAGAAACGACTGCATAGTTGATAAAATTCGTAGAAAGAACTGTCCAGCATGTCGCTTGAGGAAGTGCTGTCAAGCGGGGATGGTCCTGGGAGGTGAGCTGCTTTTCAAATCTCATTCAGAAAAATAGGCAGTCAAGAACACTAACTTTAATCTGTAGAGTTTAAAGAACATTACTTTGATACTGTAAAGGAAAGAAACACGATAAAATGTTGGTTTGAGAAGAATTACTTGACGTTTTAAAATTCCTTATAATTTTTCTTCAATGAGTCTGGAAATCTGGAACAAAAATACCTTTCTGTAGGAATTTCTCCTTCTGTGTACCCTTATTCTCTTGCACGGGCAGGAATTGTGTCTTTGGTGTGTTATTTATTAATAATTTTGGGACAAAAAATTTGATTTAGGTAAAAAATAAAGAAGCAAATTGACACTAAAATCAGGAATCAGTACTATCCCATTCTCTTTTCTGTTGTGCTTTCTATCATTGCTTTGAGTACATGTCAGCAAATTTATATCCTTCTGTTCCACCCATGAGGACCAGGTAGTAGTTACACCAACACTACAGACTTCACATACTAGATGCTGGGAGTTCCTATGTTTGTATTAGTTCTTGTTGGAACAGATTTTTTTTTTTTTTTATGTAGCATTAATCAAAATTGAGCACTATGTCTTTGAAAACCTGCAGGGAGAAAATGCTGTAGGATCAGGTAGTCACATGGCAAGTTTTGCTGTGCAAACGAGCAGGAACGATGCATATTTCTCCTGTATTTTTTCATGAGAACGTTAGCTATATAAAGTTTTTGGGTCAGCACAAAGCTCAAAAATACATGGCTAAGAGTGTAAGAAAATGGCTATGCAAAGATAATAGAAAAAATATGGTCTCAAAGGGAATTTAAAAAAAGGAAGGATAAAACGTGATTCTTTCTAATATTAGTGCATCAAACATCTCTCTTCCTCTCTGTTTTTTATGTGTTCAGTTTTCTTTTTTTTGCCCTGAAGGACGAACTGGTATTATATACTGAGGATAATTTCATTATCTTGCTAATCTGTGTTTGTTCATGAATTAAAATGTTTATGTAGTTTCCAGATTGACATTTTGATTGCACAGCTGTATGCTTTCAGCTCCTGTATTACTCTTAGGAGTTGGAGTATTCTGCACACATGGCCACTGTGTCATTCTTACATTTTATACTTTTGTTGGTGACAGAAATCAGTAGTTCCCAACCAGTAAGGAGCTGCTACTGGTTCTCAGTAATTCATCTTCCATAAGCTACTGTGACACAGCTCCAGGGAACAGCCAGCGGGATGAGAGGAGGGAAAGGTGATGCTGTGGTATTGATGGGACTCTGCGTTGTACCCCTGAACCTCCCTAGACTTTCAGCACTGCCTCTCCCGTGAGTTGTCTTCTCCAAACTGCTTCCCTCTCACCCCAGAGCGCTGGAGATGAGTAGGCTTTGGGACAGCTTGTAAGGTTTGAGCAACCCGATCTATGAAATTATGTCCCTGCCCGTGGCCGAGAGGGATGGACTAGATGATCTTTAAAGGTCCTTTCCAACCCAAACCATTCTATGAATCTAACTGATGTAGAATACAGGTAAAAATTCATTCCTGGCTGTGAATTTTGTACAGCCAAGAGTGTGATAGTGATCTAACCTGAATTTTCATCTATGATAGCCTGGATAACAACAGTAACTAAACCCCAGGTACTTTAACATCACAAGCAGCACTGTTTCAACAAGCAGAAGAGCCATGACTCACTAGCATCATCTAGTCCTTTTGCTTCAGCACTGTTCTGCATAGTAGTTCTACACAGGAAAAGTAGCCAGAAGGCTTGACTTCATTCTACATTTTGTCTGCGTTCAAGGATGCTAGTTTTCCTAGTGTTTTTTAATACATACATTTTGCTTTGGGAGTAAATAGCTAAAACAGAAAAAGTTGGATGTTTTTGCTAGCAGTATTTGGGAGACTGTATGTCCTCATCAGTGTGTCCTCATATGAGGATGTTACATCCTCATACTTGAAACCAAAACCTGAGGATAAAGGTGCTGTGACTCTCAGTTCTTTACCATCATGTATGAAGGGAGTAAAGACGTCCTCCTGCTCTTTGGATCACCTTTTTTTCTCAGCTAAAACTAAGCAAGTGTGAATACTTTCTTTGTATTTAGAGCTAGGTGGTTCTATCTAGCCATTTTTCTGGTGTTGTTTAGCCCTTTTCTAAACATACCTAATCAAATCTGTCTTCTGTTTTTTGAGTGTAGTTCCTGTAGTTCTCAGAGGGGCACGGGGTCTCATCAGGTCTCTGCCCTGATATCCCCCCTGACCTGATCTTCTGGAAAGAAGGGTTTGTGCAGAAAATAGGAAGAAGAAAACACTGAGACAATGGAGGAAGGGAAATATCAAACGGAGCCAGGACTGTGGCATCTCTATTCTTTCCTTAGCTCCATCAGGTTGAGTTTAGTATTTCAGGTGGTCTTACTGGTGTCAAGATTACTGTGGGGATTAGGAAGCTAATTATTATGCATACAGAAATGGAGTGCTTAATACTGGAGGGGTAGAAAAGACAAATGTAGGCAAAAAAAAAAGGGGAAAACTAGAGTGAGATTATATTATTTGTAAATGAGGGTTTAAAATTCAGAACAAAAGAAGTCTCAAGATAGACTGTTTAACCATAATGCTCTTTCTACTGTTAGTGTCATCATTCTTCCTTTTGCTCTTCTGCTATTTCTTACACTTCCTTTATTGTATCACACATGAATATTTCCTACCCATGACTTACCATGCTGATAATACAGCATGATTCATATATGGGATGCTACTGAGCTTCAGTCATTTTCCCCAGGTTGTACGTGTCCATAACCAAATTTCCAATTCATGGAACAGATTGGATACATACTAGACCTTCTACCTACTTAGATACACCCTTGAATATTTTTAATGAAGCAGAGTTGTCAGTACTTTATGTTTCTTCTTGTGTGTGCAGCCTATTACATATTAAGATTTGTTGTGCGTTTTCTGGTTTCTACCATCCAGAACTTGCATAGATACACTTTTGTTCTTTTACTCCTGCTACTTGGTTGCTTAATGCTGGCCTTCAGTTACTGAACACAGACCTCCAATATTGCTTAATCAAGGTGAGAAAGACCAAGATTTTGCAGGATGTTAACTGTAAGATTCTAGAGATTCTTACTAGAGTAATTAAACTTACAGCTGGGGAAGTACACATCTTCCAGTGAATGTTACTGACTAGCAACCTTATAGGTGGAGAGTAAGATTATATTACATTGACAGTGGTTCCACTTTGCGACCCTAATTTCAAAGCAATTAAATGAACTTGAGTTGTTTTGAAAATTGTATTATTTTGTAAGTAAATTATAGGGTAGCAGTAAATAGCTTTAGTGATTGATTTCACTATATGGACTGTTTCTTCTTTCTTAATATATACAAGGAAAGTGTCAATGAAAACATGCATTTCATAATTCCTTAATCATCATTCTCTGTGGGAATGTTAATTGTCTTTGAGTTTTATCATCTGGTATCTGGGCACATTAATCTGTTCACTTTCTAGACTTCTACGTGACAGCATAGCAGGTAGCTCTGTCTGGAATAAGCAAATACCCAGCTTTTTTATTTCCTATCAGTGAATCTAATTTTCCCAGGCTGACTATCACAGATTCCTTATTCTGCTGTATTGCTAAATTATCACTGTCTTCATTGTTTCATTCAGCTTTCAGTCCACATTACAGTGATTACATTGAGACAATTTTGAATTAATTTTCCAGCTAATATTTTCTAGGGTAGCATCAAAGGGTTTATTAAAATCAAGATGTATTACTCCTGCTTTGTTTCTTTATTTTCTACACGCCCTCCTAAGGTGTACACAGCTTGTTCTCCTACACAAAACGTAAGAGCATAGTGACCTTAAAGTCAGAGCCATAGTGTTCTGTCAAGAATAATGAATCATTGACATTTTTCGCCTGATTACAGGGAATGGAGAAGGATAGTGAGATGTTACACTTTTACTAGAAACCCAGTCATTTTAATATGAAATGTCTACTGTCAGTGATGTCTGATTGGCAGTATGGTTCTGTATACCTAATTAAAAGAACATTAAAATACAGAATTATGTATTAAGGAGAAAATCATAATATATTTGATAATGAGATTAGGTAGGTTTTATTCTTTAAATTTCTTTGTTTTCTAAGAGCATGTAGTACACAAACACTATACACATGCTATTTATAGTAAGTGGGGGAAAGGGAACCGTGACTACCAAGAAACTGCTTGAGTGGTTGGCTGTCTCACGAAACAAATTAATGAAAATGTTACAAAGAAAAGGTGTGCTGTCTAAGTATGCACAGACAGGTTTTAAAAAATATTAAGATTAATAGTTGCCAGTGCAGATACATATTCTTCACACATTATAGGACTAAGTGGAGACGTATGTTTGTCGTACAACAGGAGATTATCTGGATCTTTTTGTATGCAGCAGTTGAAAAATTGAGCTGTTGTCACATCTCTGCTGTTTTTTTAAGAGTTTGCATTAATTTGACATGGTGTGGTAGATGGGAAAGTTTACTGCGAGTTATTAATAGTCACCTCTTCAGTAGATAGGTAACAAGTGGAGTTGGTTTACTGGTGGCTGTTAAGCAACATGATTAGAAATAAACACAAGCAATTCTGCAAGCCAGTGTGACATTACTGCTGATACATTTAATCACTTGGAAACATGGGTAATTATTAACTACTAACATTTCCATGTGATAAACACTCCTGTTTGGTTTCTTTCTTTACTTGTTCTCTGAACTGTAAAAGTATCTGAAGCCATTATTTCAGAAAATACCTGAAATTGTTATTTATGAACTATCAAATGCATTGTTCCTTCTGTTTTCCTTCATGCCTAACCAATAGTTAATGGGAAATTCCCAGCATGTTTAGGACTATGTATAGCTTTGTTATGATAGAAATTGGCCCTAGGTCTCGTCGTAATATATTGTCTATTCTTCTGGAGTTTGTTTTTGGTTCAGCTGTAACATAAGGTGTAAGTTTGTGTTTCATTCTTTATTTCTGGTTAATGGCTCATTAGTGCTTACATTCTTACCACAAGTGATAAAATGAGCATAAGATTATTGGGGCACTTCATACTAAGCTAATTCTACTCACAGTTATGTTAGTGGGAGTGTGAGCCCTGACTTCATTGGCTGATATTTGCACTACCAATAAAGTGTGTTTCTTGAAATTTTGTTTAGTATATTACTTTGGATTTTAAATACTTTTAAAGTTTAAATTGAAGTTTTGCACTTTTATGTACTTTTTTTTGTGTGAAATTTATAAATGTGCATATTTATGATGGGATAACACACTTTTTTTTAAAAGCCAGTTTTGGCTTTTTAGATCGTGTTCATCTGCTCAGTGCTGTCTGGTTCACAAACAAGAGGGTTGATTCTGCCTCCAGCTGTGCCAGTGTACAGCAAGAATAATTAATTTAAGTAATAGAATTTGTTCTGTATAAAATATTTAGAAATAACATAAGAAGTTTTTCTGTGTTTGATGTTTTAATCTTGCTTAAAGTTATACTACCCATTTAGTAATGAATGTTTTGAAAATGTTGGTTTAATTCTCTGTACGTCCTAGGTCTTCCAAAATAGAGATAGTAGACTTTCATAGAATTTGCTATCTTCTATGATAAACAAGGACCTGAACGAAGTAGAATAGGCGTGTTCCTAAGTAAAGCCATTTGTGTTGGAACTTCCAGATTTAGTGTGTAGTTTGGAAGACAGGAACTTTTTGAGGAGGAAAGTAATAGAGGAGTCTGACTATACTAGCATCTCTCAATTCCTTCCATAAACAGCTGAGAAAGGATTCAGAATATGTGCTTGAAATTTAGGTATGCTTCTCTACTCTGGTGTCCTAGGGCCAGTTTGGTGCATGGTTGCATTCTGACAGCGTGGCACTACTTTTAAATAAAATGAAAAGAAGGCAGAAAGAGAGGGAAAAGTCTGTGTCCTTTTAGGCTATGATAAATTCACTTGTCTAATCTTTCACTTGTAAATAAGTATACCATTTATCAAAAAACAATTTGATATGCATGTTATAAACTGGATTTTAGTTCAACTAAATTGATGCATAATGTTACCCTATTCCGTTCACCTCCTATACTTATAGTGGTTTTTGCATATTGCCATTTTAGAATTCAGTTTCTCAGGGATACAGTAATTTGATAGGCATAGTTTTTCTTTTCATCCAGTGAAATTTTATGTAGCTCTTTTCCTGTTCTTGTGAAAGCATGCAACACCTCAACAAGTGTAAATGTATTATTATTTTTTTTTTTAATTTAGTATTCTTCAAACCACTGCAGTATGGAAATAAGAATTGCAAATACTGAGAAGGATAAATTATCTTCTAGAAAGTGAAGAGTTTTAGAAGTGTTGACATGTGGTTTTACAGTATTTGCTGGCTTTTCAGTCATCCCCTGAATTCTGTTTTCTTTCTGGTAAACAGGAGGGAAATATTACATTACAGATCACCAAAAAAGAAGTTAGCCATGAAACCAAAATGCCTCTGTGGAAACTGCAGGAAAGGAATTTTTGTGTGTAGTAATTAATTACTAGCATTTTTGTTTCTGAATATTAGGGAGAAAAAAGAAACAGTATCCTTAATTAACATTGAGTAGGAACTGGATTGTAGAGCCAGCTGGCTCAGCTGTCGGCATGTGATAGAACAGTGGGAACTGAACCAGGAAACACTTTATGAGGTTACTGTAACCTAGAATTCATGGCAATAATTTTAATGGGTGGGTGCCATTCATCTCTTAGTGAAGGGAGGAGGATATGGAGGGAGAAACTCTTAAGAATTTTCCATTATTATTTCTTACACTTCCTTTATGTAAATAGTCAAAAATAGAAAACTTACTCAGAAGATTGTTCTTGTTTTCTTGTATATGTTGAAAGTGTAATCTGGCACAACTGGAAAATATTAATTTTTCTGGTTAATTCTTTTCAACAGATCAACAATTTTCTTTTACAGGTCGAAAATTAAAAAAATTTAACAAAATTAAGGTTGTGAGAACATTAGATGTCGCACTCCAGCAGCCAGCAACCCTTCAAGATGAAAGCCAGTCTCTAACCCAAAGGCTGTCCTTTTCTCCAAATCAAGAAATACAGTTTGTTCCCCCAATGATAAGTGTTCTACGAGGCATTGAGCCAGAAGTTGTCTATGCTGGTTATGACAATACAAAACCTGAAACACCGAGTTCCTTGCTGACCAGTCTAAATCATCTTTGTGAGAGGCAACTTCTTTGTGTAGTCAAGTGGTCTAAATTGCTACCAGGTAATAACACTTGTATGTAGTGAATTCTAATTAAGCAAACATGTCTTAAGATGAGCAGTCATTGTCTGCCTGTTAATTCTTAACAAATTCTAAAATGATTCACCTTCAGTTTCATCAGCTACTATATGTGTCAAATAGATTTTAATAGGAGGGCGCTCTTAAAGGAATGCATCTAAATATTTAGACTCATTCCAAAAAAGAACAGAAGCCCAGAGAGTTCCTGTATGTGATCATTATAACAGCCCTTCCATCCTAACCCCTCCTACTCTATTATTCATTCTTATGGTGTGAAAAAATTTATACATTTCTGCATATACTTCATTGTTCAAATGCATTTTTTTAAGCAACAGAGAAAAATTAGAAAACAGAGAAAACAGCTCACAGATAGACTGGTAACAAGATGTAAATGAGTCTATGAAGATCCAACACTGGTTTCCAAAAATGTCGTTATGTATGTACATGCACTGTATGGACATAGGGGCCCGATCCTGGGATATATAAAAATGAATATATTTACCAGGAGGCCTGGAAATATGGTTTTCATGTGAGGTCCGTTTGACACTTCAGTGCTGCAGGGATGCGTAGTCCTTATCACCGCGCTTCCCCATTGCAGCTTGCACCTGTCAGACTTCTTGGTTGAACTGAGTCATCTCATTAAGTAAGAGGAAGACAACCCCTTTTTTTACCCTCTTTAGTTTTCTGATGGCTTCATGAGCTGAACCAGTTCACTGAGGGGTGGCATGAATGCCAGAGCTTGCCTGAAGGGGGTAACAGGACCAGGTAATGAAGAACTGGGCCACCGCTTCCGGTGGCAGGAAGCTGTTAGATGGACTCAGATACTTCACAGCAATCTTTAAAGTTATCAAAGGACAAAAATTACCAAAGCCAAGCACACAACTGAATTCTCTTTAGTTAAATGCAATAAAGATATTCATATGTGCATGTTTATTGTATTACAGCTGTATCTCATGTTAAAAGTCCAAACTATCTGTATTAAATGACAGTTGGTTACAGTGATCATGTTACAAACTGTTATATTTTTACAAAAGGAAAATGAGATGCATTCCTATTTCCTGAAATAGTCAGTTCTGATTGCTAAAGTTAATTTTGGTTTGATCATTTCAAAATAGTGGATGAGAACAAAAAGACAAGAGGTTAAGTAACAAAGTGAGGTAGGCAGTTATACAAACTTTACGAACTTATGAGAGCTGCATCCCCTAAAGCACTCGTCTTCCTAGGTGTTCTAAGTTTTATAGCTCAAATTTGTAATCTTGGCACACCTACTCAACTGTTGTCTAAATGAGAATTATAAAGTATTTTAACTTTTAATTTAATTTCCAGGATTTCGGAATTTACATATTGATGATCAGATAACCCTCATCCAGTATTCCTGGATGAGTCTAATGGTTTTTGCAATGGGATGGAGATCATACAAACATGTCAGTGGTCAGATGCTATATTTTGCACCAGATCTGATTCTGAATGAGTAAGTAGACTCTGCTGTTGCATAACATGAATGACATTTTTAACTTATTTGTGTCAATGAGAATGTGACTTTACTGGGGCCAAGATTTCATTCATTACTTGTTCCTTTTCAAATTAACAGCAAAGTCCTCTGATCATATTAAAGTTCAGTAACTTTGGGAAAGCTTTTATGGGAAAAGGTGGATAAAATATGTGAAACTGCTCTTTTCTGGTTGGAAGGGGGGGATTATTTGCCTAGATTTTCCTTCGATATGATGAAGAATTCAGATAATCTTAATCTCAGTCTTTGTTAGTTTTTCAGTTCTGCACATTAATATTTTCAAAGCTGTAATTTTAGATTCTGGAGTTATTATACATGGGAGGTTTTCAGGAACAGTAAAACATAATTTAATGTCCCCATTTGTTTTTCCTTAATACATTTTTCTTAGTTATTTTTTCTCAAAATCATAAAAATGCTGTGAAGTGAAATGGAAGTTTAACAGGTTTTCTTGTGAGACATATGCATTTAAGGATTAAGAGGTGGATTTGCAGATCTGGGCACCTGAATTTAAAATCTATTTTTTCTTGCCAGTGAAGTTCTTTATAGAAAATATTCAATAGAGCTGGCTCTGGAGCTCCTGACCTTTTCTCTTCCAGATGACTGTAAATCACTTTGACGTTATAGAGTAATGCATTTTTTCCTCTCCCTTCTGTGTTAATTGTGCTGCACAAATTGAGTATCTTCGAAGGGATGAGATTGAGAGAATTTCTGCCTGTTTTCTGTCCCAGCACAATCTGTGATATATCTCATGGTTACATTAAGTAGAACCACAGAGTGAGATGGCTTTAGGCAGTCAGGTCATCGTCTTGGGTATTACTTGGTACGTGGAACACTGCTGCTGCCTGTGAAGAAGACTTTCTTCAAGAATAGAGTTGAGCTTTATGAACCCTAGTTATAATCCCTCAGAGACAGCTTCTTGTTTGCAGCTCAAGACCTACTTGGAGAAAGAGGTGAACTGACAACATACCCTTCTCTTGACTGCAGAACATTTCATCAGGAACGTTATAAACAGACATGAAAAGTAACTGGCACTAAATCAGAGCTCTAACTATTTATTGGGAAATAAGTTACCTTTTAGGTCAGTAAAATGTAAGCAACTTTCTTGTCCACAGTGATTTCTAAGATTGTACTTTGATGATCACTTTAAGCAGAAGTCAACTCCACCTGCCTCCCTGCCCTGGTTATGCATCCCCATGATTTCACTGAAGCTGGATCAAACAGTGTCTGGCTGCACAGAAAAGGAAATGATGTGCTTGAGAAACACCCCAGAAAAGGCCATTAATTAGCAGATGGAGGTGATCCTTGATCTGACTCACCACGTGGACATGCAGGCACTGATGCCGGAATAGCAGGAGTACCCACCTGGAGGTGGAAAGTGATAGTGGAAATTCCTTCTACAGGTGCAACGCATACTTGAGTTGTTTCAAAATGACCATGAAACCACAATCCAGAGGCAGTTTCACAGCTGATCTGTCATTTAGTGAACTGAGTTGTCATGCTTCTTCAGAATAACTTGTTTGGTAGCATCAGTTTCAGACCAATATAGCCAGAAGTGTTAATTTGAAAATGATGTAACGAATTAATATTAAAGCCCTAGAAAGATTTACTGTTACTTATACTTTGCATTGTCTGAAAACATGACTAAGAACAGCATTTAAGCATGCCCTTCATAGATACTACTTAGAAACAGAGTCTGCAGAAAGGAATAGGAAGGGAAGTTTAAAGTAGCTGTAGAAGTAACCAGTCCTTTCAGATCTAATGGGTTAAATTTTGATGTTTAAGTCATTTAAGAGCTGGTCCGAGACATCAGATGTTGAACAAAGCTGAAATAATTTTCATTTAAGGTGACAGTAACACTTTAAGTAACAGAAGAATAAAAGTCAGTGCATTGAGACAAGTCTCTTATTCACAGAAAATATCTGCTGTTTGCATTGTTGATGGCACTATCTGCAGTCAGGTTGGAATGCGGAAACGAACTTCTTGAGGAGGACAGGCAAAATTTAATCTTGTTGTTGCACCTAATCCATCTGGAGCGGGATGCAGCTTTGTAGAATTAGCCCATGTTCATCTTCCTGTTAATGTACAGTGAATTCAGTTCAGTTTACAAACTCTGAAATGCTGTTGTGCAGTAATTTCAGTTGAAAACTGCCTTCCCCATAAATACATGCAATAAAATAGTATACCAGAATCTCAAAGAGAAAAGTAAGATTGCAGTGGTGCAAAAAAACAAACACTTCATGTATTTCCTTGTGTGATTTGTCCTAGTTACTGCAGGAGTCTAGATAAGGCTGTATTAATGTCTAAGTTTACTTCAATACTCTTTGTATATATTTGCATATTTTTAACTGTTTCTTTAATGGCTTAAAATGCTACAAAATAGTATCATTGCCATTAGCAGTACATTGTTAGACTTGCAACAATGTATTTTGATGCAGACATTTTTGCCATACCTAAGAACAAGTTTTCCATAAACTTTGGGGTTTATCTTCGATTCAGCGAATGTAAAAATGTGTCAACTTCTGAAAGAAAAGAAAGTACTTCACACTAATTATTAGAGCGTTTTTGAATAATTAAAAAAACATTTCTTTTGTTGATTACCATTCATCTTTGATAGTCTGCAAGGTTTTTTGTTCTGGGCAGCAGTAACAGATTAAGCATCCAAAACAATAGCACATTCATTACGATTAAAAAATTAGTGTAGGTATAAAAAGAGTCAGGATTCTTTTTGTGTGTATAACCTCTTCCTTTAAACTCTGTAATGTGGTACATAAACTGCTCAAAAGGCACTTCCTTCAAGCAATTAATACCGGAGCCGTTCCTTTTCTTTATTTTCATGGCTTTTTAATTTTTTTTTTTACCTTTTCTGGGTGTAAGACAGAGGATGAAAGAATCATCGTTCTACTCCCTGTGTCTATCCATGTGGCAACTCCCACAGGAATTTGTCAGACTTCAAGTTAGCCAAGAAGAGTTCCTGTGTATGAAAGCACTGTTACTTCTCAACACAAGTAGGTTCTTTATTTCTTTGTAACGTGTCACTAGTAAAAGAATTTTGAACCATCTTGTTCAACCTGACAATTGCTAAGCTATCTGGCTTAACAAATGGAAACTTCTTTAGGAGGAATATTAGTATTCCAAGACCTAAAAGTATTTTTCTAGTGTTGATAGGAAACAAATAATTTGTGATTCAATGTTGCATTTATTCTGTATAAAGGCACTGGGGAAATGTTGGATCCATTTTGATATATAGCTATACTGTTTTACATATTTTCAAATCAAGTGTGCAGTATTTCTGCCTGGAAGCTCTTCATCTTAAATGACTCTATACAGATTAAAAAAAAAAAATCACAAGCATTAGAAATGTATTAAAAATATTTAATAAATTGTCAGGACTGAGGACTTTGTCTTGGCCAACAACTTAAAGCTTACTCAAAAGAATTAGGGAGGTGGGCATAGCAAACAATACTAACATTTACTGAACTTTTTATAGTTAGGTCAAGTTTAGCACAGATACGAACAAATGGAAATGTTTTTCTGCATCTAAAGAATCCAGCATACAGCTGCATTCCACTTTAAATGGGAAATGTGGTAGTTGATGAAATTATCTTCCAAAACCTTTTCTGAAATACTAAAATGTACATCTGCTGAGGCCATAATTGTTAGTTATGAATCCACAAAGTTTTAGAATGGTACAGATCCTATTAGAAATAAGAATAAGCACCTCCAAGAAATATAATTGGAAGAATGTTGAAGTTTGGCTCTCTACATAGTTAAGGAGTTGGAGGAGAGGTGTGCAAATCCTGCATAGTTCACTTGTTGGTTGTACAAAGTTTCAGTAAAAGATAAGGAACTAAAATTTATTCCCTTTTTAGCTGTATTTGGGTGGTATTCGTATAAGCTCATGCTTAAAAAATCCTTGGTCTCAGCACAGCATAAGCAGTAAAAAATTAAATTTAGTTCATATGAACATAAAAATTACTAAAGTAATAGCAAAATACCATACGCTCTGCTGAAGCAATAAAAGTAATGTGGACAAAATTCTGTCTCTGGTATAACTCCAGATGCTTTGTTGGAATTTGAAAGTACTATATTTTTAAATGTTTTTCACCATGTTTTCATCACGAAATGAATGCCCTTATGTATCTGAACCTTAGAGGGAAGGTTTAAATTTCAGTAGAAATTTAGATACATTTCTGATATTCCAGCTCTTCATTTCTGTCCCAAAGAGTTCAAATCAAATTCAAAAAAACCATTACAGTCGTCCAATCCCTCTCATTTACAAGTGCATCAGTTTAACAGTATTCATCAAGCTACGGTTCTTTATCAACTGCATTGTCCTCAGAAACTCATTTTTAAGACGATATGTTTATATATATATATGTATGCAAGAAATTAATTTTAAAAAAAAGTATTTCTGCCTGCGCTGATGAGTTTTGCTTTTTGTTCTCTCCTGCACTTACTGTCTTATAGGAAAAAACAGTTTATCAGATCTTTGGGAAAAGGAACCGTTGTTGCTGAGACATTTAATAAACATTTGGTACTGTATAAATATAATTCCACAAAACTATTTAAAAAAAAATAAATAACCTCATTGTTGCTATAAAATGTTTTAAGACTACTTTTATTTTAGTCATGGTATTCATCTTAATCCTCTCCAAATGTGAAAGTATGGCCATTTCAAGCTTTCATATACTAACAGTAAATCAAGTGTGAACTTTTAGTCTCTCATTCTGTCTTCTATTTGATTTATTGTTTAGATGAACTGTTCTTTACTTTTTATATTATTTTGAAGAAACGGTACTTTGTATGAAACGTAACTCGACACATTTCTAGCTCTGAATGGAAACCCCAGCCTATGTTTTAATATTATTTTTAACCTTACTGTTTTTCCATAGAGTTTGCTGTGGCTTAGACATTTTTTTTTTTATATTGCACTTGTGACAGTTTCGAAGCTGTCTTGAAAGCAGAATTAGTCTTTGCAATAAGTGGACCAACATTTTTATTTTCTGCAATTGTTTCCATTTCACAGGTCCTTATTTACTGCATGTAATATGCTGTGTTGTAGTAGGGCCCCAGAAGTTCTAAATAGGGCTCCATCTTGCAGCGGCCACATACATCTAGGGACCAATACTGCAAATAGTTCAGAAAGACTATGGTTTAAGGAAGTGGAGCTAGGCAAAAAAAAAAAAAAAGAAAGAAAGAAGCATATAGCAGGTTCAGTGCTAACACTTTCCAGACTTTTGATTTAGGAGAATTGCAAAATCTTGTTGCATAAGATTTTGGCTGGGTTCTTGCCACTGAATAAAAGCATCTGCGTTCTTTACATACGTTCAGGGGGAAGGAGCATTTGAGCTACCTCTGTTATTGCATTTGTGCATGTAAGACATTGTAATTCTTCACTCAAATAGCTTAGTGGAACTTTTTGTGATTAGACAGGAATGAGACTGCTTTTGCAGAATTCTGGGAAACAGCCCATGCGTTATTGGAAGACATAATTTAATTCACAAGGGAAATAAAAGGACTTAACTACTGGTTTAGAGATGTAAGTCCAAGAAAGCATCCACCTAACCCTAAACTCCATCAGAATGTCACCTTATGTAAAAAAGACTTCATAGGTGTCTGTAATTCAGCTGTTAGACATACCCAGAACCATCCAGGCTTTGAAAATTAAGCTACTCTTTCCCAGGACATAACTTTTCCCCACTGTGAGTATTCCTGCCTATATTACTCCTAAGCCCGTTGCATTCCCCATACAGCCGAACTCTTCCCCTCCATTCAGACCTTCCATGCAGATCTGACAGGCACACTTTCAGATACATCCTTTGTCTGTTTGGACTTGAGAAGCTGTGCTGAGTCAAACCAAAAGTCTACCTCATCCAGCAGTTCATCTCCATCAACTCCCAAAAGAAATCTAACATGGCACCCCTGAAAGTTGCACTGTTATTAGGTATGGTGTTATAAATGTACTTTCTGTGAAAGCAGTCAATTTCTTTCTCTATATTTAGTTTTTGTTTGAATTCTGGTTTACTGAGGAGTTAGACCCTGACTTCCATAGCCATCTCAGTGCTTAGACACTTGCCTTTAAAGTAAACTTGATATTTTCTCTGTGTGTGCCTCCCTCCTTCCCCCAGACATTCAAGAGACATCCTTGGCAAACTGGATCATTTCCTCTCTCGGGCAGTCTCCTATGAAATAGGAGTCTTTTGCTTAACTCGGGTATAGAGATTTGAACTTCTGCTTTGTCATCTCTCTGGAGATGGACTAGAGGTGAGGGACAAAATTGTGATCTCTTTGCCTGAAGTGTCTCCTTCCTCCTTACCTTCTTCTGAGGAACCAGACATGACTTAGGCATCTGACTTCAGAACAGGGTTTTTCATTTCCAAATGGAGAGCAGTGCTTCTCTCGGTTCAAGGTTTGCTACCTAATTCTCTTTCAGGGAATGGGTTTAGGTCCAACCCCTGTGCAGCCATCTGCTTTGTAGGTGACTTCTGCTTTAAGAATTCCATTCTTTGGTATCTAACAATACAGTGCATTGTACAGAGAGTCAGCGCATACTTATGTTTATGTTTTAATTCCAGAAGGTGACAAATAACCTGGAAGTTAGGTGTTACCTTGTTGAGTAAGGCAGTGTCATTATGAACCAAGCTTCAACACTTGGTTTTTAAGAGATGCAAAGGAAATCTGTTCTGGTCTGATGGTCATGGTCTGAGACCAGATTGAAGATGTACTAGGTACCTAGATAACTAGCACGTGATTTATATAACTGTTAGCTACTCCCCATGACATTCTTTTAGAGTCTGTGGAGAAAAATAAACATCTCTACAGCATATTTAACAGAATCCTAGAATCCCTTAGGTTGGAAAAGACCTTGAAGATTATCAAGCCCAACCGTTAACACTACCAAGTCCTCCACTAAACCATGTCCCTAAGTGCCACATTCACACATTTCTTGAATACCTTTTGGGATGGTGATTCAACCACTTCAAGTTTCAATGCCTGACAACCCTTTCAGTGAAGAAATTTTTCCTAATATCCAATCTAAACCTCCCCTGGTGCAACCCGGGGCTATCTCCTCTTGTCCTGTCACATGGGAGAAGAAACCAACCCCACCTCTTTGCGCCCTCTTTTCAGGTAGTTGTAGAGAGTGATAAGGTCTCCCCTGAGCCTCCTCTTCTCCAGGCTGAACACCCCCAGCCCCCTCAGCAACTCCTTGCAGGACAGTCCAGCACCTCAATGTCCTTCTTGCAGTGAGGGGCCCATAACTGAACACAGCATTCGAGGTGCTGCCTCACCAGTGCCCAGTACAGGGGGACCATCACTGCCCTAGTCCTGCTGCCCACACTGTTCCCAGTGCAGGCCACAATGCCGCTGGCCTTCTTGGCCACCTGGGCACACTGCTGGCCCATATCCAGATTGCTGTCACCAACCCCCCCATGTCCTTTTCCACTGGGCAGCTTTCCAGCCACTCGTCCCCAGACCTGTAGTGTTGCAGGGGGTTGTTGTAACCCAAGTGCAGGACCAGGCACTTGGCCTTGTTGAACCTCATACAAACTGGCCTCGGCCACTAAAACTACAGCAGGCTGTGGTAACTAGCCCAGGTGGTGATGGCCATACTGCAAATTGTCTAAACTATGGTGAGGTGAATCCTTCCACTCATTCTTGCTGTCAGAATATGAAATTTTTAAATGTGACGTAGCATTGTGAAATATCATTGGCAAGGGAGAAGGGGGAAGAAATTTAACAGCTCTTTCAAAAATTATGTGTCTGGAACAGACCATGTTTCAGTGTATGATTATTATAACAAACCAAGGATTTAGATTTGATTGCCAGGTGGGAATATTTTTTCAAGTTTCATTTCTTGAAGTTTTTAATTTCTTAGTTGCCTTTGACAACATAAATTGCAAGACTTGTGTATGACACTTTGCCGTATCAAGGGAAGTAGAGTCTAGAGCTTACTGTGTTTCCTTATAATGCTAACAACACTTACCATCGGTGATCAAATACGGCGTTATCACTAGCAGTCACTAACGGGTTCATTTCTCAATGTGCTCTCCATGCCCTAATTCTGGTCCTCATGGCTGACGATTAAGAGGAGAGTGAGTTCAACTGTTTGCTCCTCCTTGCTGATTTCTCTAAAATCTGTTCATGTTTAAGAATCTGACAGTGCATTTATTCTGTTAAGTGAAAAAGAGGTCCAAACAGGAGGCCTGAGCCCTGCATGCTTTGCTGTCTATGCTCTAAGAGTTGTTAGTTCATTCCTTGACTATTTTGAAGCACTTGAGCTAGATCCCTCTAACATAAATCTGCTGGGCAGAGGGCAGTGCAAACACGAGCCAGTCTATAACATCTTTCCTCAAGGACAAGAATGGTTCTTTTGGCCAGCCTCTCTTCAGCAGACAGGTGTAGTTGAAGCTTAAGGCTGTTTCTAGACATCAGCAATTAGCACAATTAACTGATTGTTGCTGGTATATCCTTTTAACTAATTGTATCACTGTTCCTGGAGTAACTGTTGAACAGGAAGAACTACTTCGTGTATAATAATGCATTGCACTGCAGAGCATGAAACAGTATAAATTCTTCCTGTACTTAAATTTCTCTCATCACCTTCAGAATAAATTGGAACACAAGTGTACTTTCTTTTCAGTTCCTTTGGAAGGTCTCAGAAGTCAAAGCCAGTTTGATGAGATGAGAACGAGCTACATCAGAGAACTGGTGAAGGCGATTGGTTTGCGCCAGAAAGGCGTTGTGGCCAACTCGCAACGTTTCTATCAACTTACAAAACTGATGGATTCCATGCATGACGTAAGTTTACTTGTTAATGTGTTTTGTTTCTTATGTAAGAAACGTCTAGTGTTTCTTAAAAGTAAGTTTATGGGAAGTGCCTAATCAGTATTCTAAACAACAAAAGGAAAATGCCTGTATTTTTCCTTTAGTGGTTATATTTGTGTAAATAGATAGCTATACATACTGTATATATATTATATGGTATGCAAGATTTAAGTATTTGAGAAACATGCATTTGAATGCCACTATTTTGTTTCATTCTTTCTGTAACATAGCTAGTACAGTTACGGTTTTTGGTAAGAGGGCAGGGTACTGGTTGATGAAAAACTGAACAGGAGCCGGCAGTGTGCGCTGGCAGCCCAGAAAGCCAACCGTATCCTGGGCTGTATCCGGAGAGGTGTGGCCAGCAGGTCGAGGGAGGGGATTCTGCCCCTCTACTCTGCTCTGGTGAGACCCCACCTGGAGTGCTGCATCCAGCTGGGGAGCCCTCAATATCAGAAGGATATTGACCACTTGGAGCGAGTCCAGAGGAGGGCCACGAAGATGATCAGAGGGCTGGAGCACCTCTCCTATGACGAAAGGCTGCGAGAACTAGGCTTGTTCAGCCTGGAGAAGAGGAGGCTCCGAGGAGACCTCATAGCAGCTTTCCAGTTTCTGAAGGGGGCCTACAAGGGTGCTGGGAGAGGACTGTTTACAAGAGCCTGTAGTTATAGGACAAGGGGTAATGGGTATAAATTGAAATCAGGGAGGTTTAGATTAGATGTCAGGAAGAAATTCTTCACCGAGAGGGTGGTGAGGCACTGGAACAGGTTGCCCAGAGAAGCTGTGGATGCCCCATCCCTGGAAGTGTTCAAGGCCAGGCTGGATGTGGCTTTGAGCAACCTGGTCTAGTGGAAGGTGTCCCTGCCCATGGCAGGGGGGGTGGAACTAGATGATCTTTAAGGTCCCTTCCAACCCAAACCATTCTGTGATTCTGTATGCATGTGTGCGAGTGTATGTTCATGAAAATATTTAAATAATGCAAAGAATAGGCAATTCAGATTGCAAAGTCGGGCTACTAAGAACTAGAGAGAGAGAACCAAGGTTGGTTTTTCAGCCTTACGTCAACTGCTTTTTTGTAATTATTCTACACCATTTTATCAGTGCCTGTCTATATTTGGGAATCGAGTAATCTTTCAAAACCTAGTGGTGATACCGTAGAGATTCCTAAGTGTCTTAAAAGATGCAGCTGAATCCTCTCCACATCTCTGAGAATCCACCAAGTATCCTAATGACTTTAAATCCATTAAAACTGAGGAATGACATCTTGTCTAAACCTCTGCCCACCTGAATATTCTTTTGTAACAGCTTGTGTATCTGTGCAAGAGGCCAAAAGCAGAGGTACAGGGCCACAGTGGACAGCTTTAGCGAGCACTGGAGAAGTGGCACTAAGATAGTTTGAAGAGTGCTTTTGATTTCAGTGCTGGTTGTGAGATTGCAGGGAGTTCGGGGAAGGATGTGGTCATTGCGTGTTTGTATTCTTCTGCAGTCATCAAAATCTGCATTTTATTTTAGCCGTTCAAATTCATTTATTCATCTAAAACCTTTCATTGTCACTAATTTCCCATTCTGTTGGGGAAAAAAAATAAAACACTTGGAGAATACCATTTATAAGAGTTAAGAGAGGTGACAATATTGATAATTATGTGGTTCAACGGGTGGTTTGGAGTCTTTTAATCCACTGCACAAACCTCTCCAACAGCTTGTGCTATCTACAGAACTCAGATTCACCATTACCTATTACATCGTCTCAGATACCAGCAAAAGGAGAATGAGACAAGTATGAAAAGCATCTTTACAGGTGAAGGTAGACAGTCAGAAATTCTGAAGGGAAGATACAGAGCTTAACTTTAAGTATTTACTGGTAGTCAGACTGGAATCGTCAGTTGGGACTGTCAGTGCTAAAGCCTTCCTAGAGTTCAATCAGCTCTTACATGCAAAACCAAGACCTGGGCAGTATACTGCTCACGGTAGTCCTGTGCTCAAGGAACCTGTTTGGATCAGTCTTCCTTGGGATGAGAGGTCTTCCTGCCTTACCTGAAGTAATAACTTGCAATCTGAGTGTCAGAGCATCTGGAGGAAAACTCTCTTGTGTACTGGGCTGTAGAGTCAATCTCTTAATTTCAAATACTGACAGTAATACTGCCTTAGTGGAAATGAGTGAGTGAGGCTTGCTGCAAAATACCCAGCAAATTGATGGTTAGGGTAGTGTTTGGTCCGTAGAGTATCTTTGTTCACACCCTTACTTCAGTGATGGAAGATAGAAGGAAAAGATAATCACACCAAAGAGGCTGTGCTGTTAAAGCCTAGAGTAGCAGAAATAGTATGACATCTAATAACATAAAGGTCACAAGTCTTAAAGAAAAACTCCTATAAAATTGGAACTTGTCAGAAAAGACAGAAGAGTTGAAATAGTCACATATATTGAGTAGTTGCTTTCGAGGGGCAGGACCCACGGAGTTTAATGTTTGCAGCATACCCAGGTATGATCACAGTCAGAACCATGGCAAAGCTCACAAAGAAATGGTAAGTGCTGTCCCTTGGAGCAGTGTTTGAATATGTGTTGTAAACAAGGCATGGAGATACATGTTGAACGTGAGGATAAAACGAAAGATTGAACACTTGTTTAGTAATTGCTGTTGTTCATGGTGCGTGCCATGAGCGAGGATGATAGTGCATTATAATGTTAGCAAGGCACTGGTTTTATACAAGGTACCATTTAGCTGTATTCATGACTTTCTGCCATGGCAGGGTATTTTAGTGGAGGATGACAGGTATCCACATGATTGATTCAAGGAGTGCCAGAGGAAGGTATATAAAGATGTCAGCTGATGGATGTGTAAGTGATTGACAGCGTGTTTATTTGGCTGCATTGCTGTAGCCTGATTTATCATGTTTGTATTTTATTAAATCCAGCTAGTGAAACAGCTCCATCTCTTCTGTCTGAACACATTTCTCCAGTCCCGTGCACTGAGTGTTGAATTCCCCGAGATGATGTCAGAGGTGATTGCTGCCCAGCTACCCAAGATTCTGGCCGGGATGGTGAAACCTCTTCTCTTTCACAAAAAGTGAAATGTCTTTTCTCTTATCATAGAGATGATTTCTGAGTCATTTTTTTGTTTGTTTATTTTGGTCAAGTTTTTGCAATGTCAGGACTTCAGTATATTTGTCACACTTACCCTGCCTTCTGTGTTATACTTGTAACATACACAAGCCATTTAAGCTTGATGTACATATTGTGAGTTCCTGATTCCTTAACTGCAAAAATCACAACAGTCATAAGAAATGTTTTGTAAACTCGGCTACGTTGCTTTTTAGAGACGCGTAAGAATGACAATGAATAGAGTTTTTGGATTTCTGAGAACACTTACACATTTTTCTTACATATTACACGCTCTGAAGTTTCTGATATGACATGGTGTAAACTTTTTACTTTCGTACGTTGTGTGCACAGGTAGATGTGGGCATGTGCGTAATACGAGATTTTGGAGGAATTGAAGTAAATATTGCCCACATTTTCTCACAGATATTACACTTTTTTTTTAAGTAATCTGCCTCACAGAAATATCCTTTCAAAGTCAGCTGTGCAGGATTAAGTAGATGTCACTGCAGTACCTTCATGAGGACCTGAAGTGCTAGCCACAAAATACACATTCCTATTCTCGCCTGTGCTCTTACTGCATTGAAACTCGGAGTTCAGCGTACTGAACTGTACTGCAGCCTTCAGTGCAGCTCTCCTGCAGAAATCAGAAAGCTTAGGAAAATTCCAGTGGATATTACACCAGAAGGAATGTGTATACAAACCCACTTAGCTTTGGTTTGTGTTATTTTCCTAAAAAGCTCAGCACTTAACTGATGCTAAACCACTTATCTATCATCTTAAATTCGTCACCTTGAAAAATCTATGTTTTAAAAGCTTTAAATAGAGATGTTTTCACTGACTACAACTCTTAATAATCTTAATGTTTTGAATTCCAGTGCTGAATACTTGAATGGCCATTAACATCAAATTATAGCGAGATTGGATGCAAAAAGAGATGGTAAATATGCCTACAAACACTTTGATACACATCAGACATTTCAGTACTGTTTAGTGGAGCTAAATGCTTTATATTTTTAGGGCATGCCATTGCAATTGGGGTAACTGTACAAGAGGAACTGGACTAAATTAGTGTATACATTCAAGAAGAATGTCCTGGTTTACCATGGAAAAGAAATATTTGACTGAAAAAAATATCATGTGGTGGTTTTTGTTCCTTTCATATGGCTATGAAGCCGCTCATCTACGTAAGTTAGCAAACTTGGTATGTTCAAACAACAGAGAAACGGATAAAACCCAAGAAGAAATTTATGAGTCTATTAAAATATGACAACCTTTGCCAGTTACTAGAAATCATAATCAAATTCTCGAGCAGTGTAGGAGATGGTGAGTCTTACTTGGGTACTTGCTGGCCATACCCTTTTGCTCTTGCCCCCTACATGCCAGGTGCATCCATCGTGTGACAGCATGCTGTTGATGGTGTGTAACTTGGTCTGTGTCCCGGTCACGTGAACAGAGGCTCGCTGGACCCAAGATTAAACCAGGGTGCCCCTCATTTTAAGTATAAATGATGTTACTTGTTCATGAAAATTTTATCTTGATTCTTGAAAAAAATGTGGACAGCACCTAAAGGTAGATCTGAAAATATCCTTACTATTTGCAATTTCCCAAAGCTGTTCAAGAAGAAACTACATTGGGACTGGGGATAAAACATGTCTGAGATTCCCACATAGTAGTACAAAACCTGCTAGAGCTGGGCCCTGGAGAAAATGGTATAAGCAGATTTTTGTGTTAGTTGACTAGGTTCGTAATTTCTGACTGCCCAGAAACAAGCAATTCCTTTCATACTCAATACAGTCTTTTAACTGTGATCCTTAAAGCAATTATGTTTTAATAAATAACACAAAATTCTTTATTTCTACATACTGAAGTTTTGTTTTCTTTATTTTTCTTTGTATTCACATTCAGTATTATGGGGCTTAGTAAAAAAAAAAAGTCAATTTCAACCATTCCACTATTGTATAACAACATTATTTTCATGCATTCTTTGGGAATTTAAGCATTGCCACGTGATTTACCATTGGATAAACAAACTGTCTGTGTTACTGTTTAGATTAAACTGTTAACAGAAACTTCCCACACTAAAAAATTGTTCCTTGACACCCTAATTCTGAACTTGGAAAACGGAGCAGGCAGTACGCTTGCCTTCAGAATGCCTCGGATCAGCCTACATCTGCCTTTTACTCAAACCCTCAGATTTGTTCCAAGCAGCTGCCATGTCACCGTGTCCCATAAACATGGCAGGGTGGTCTGAAATGCTCTCTACTTGTCTCAAAGGCATAATCAGAAAGAAAGGATAGATGTCGAGAATAGATAACAAAAGTGAAAAACATTTTGAAATTGTATTTCTTAAAGATCTCTAACTCACAGAAAAAATTCCCAGAACTTCGTGGTCATGATAAACGCACTATGTAGAGCAAGTCTTGCTAAATGTGGCTGCTACATGAATTTGGAAGTCCTGTGTGGATTACTTGATTGTCTGAAGTTAGAAAAATGCAGCTTTGAGCCCAGTTCGTAAAACTGCCTTTTGTCTGCATTTTGATTGTGGAACCCACAACATCAGAAGGATCTAGACCAGTTGGAGTGAGTCCAGAGGAGGCCACAAAGAGGCCCAGAGGGCTGGAGCACCTCTGCTGTGGGGACAGGCTGAGAGAGTTGGGCTTGTTCAGCCTGGAGAAGAGAAGGCTCCGGGGAGACCTTATAGCACCTTCCAGTACCTGAAGGGGCTACAAGGAAGCTGGGGGGGCCTTTTTACAAGGGCCTGTAGTGACAGGACAAGGGGTAACGGGTTTAAATTGAAAGCGGGGAGGTTTAGATTAGATATCAGGAAGAAGTTATTCCCGGAGAGGGTGGTGAGGCACTGGAACAGGTTGCCCAGAGAAGCTGTGGATGCCCCATCCCTGGAAGTGGTCAAGGCCAGGCTGGATGAGGCTTTGAGCAACCTGGTCTAGTGGAAGGTGTCCCTGCCCATGGCAGGGGGGTTGGAACTAGATGGTCTTTCAGGTCCCTTCCAACCCAAACCATTCTATGGTTCTATGATCTTCTTACGTAGCATGTTGCATACCAGAAATAAGAGGTCTTGGCAGACAGACAAAACTTCTTTGTTTTCTGACAGTGAGGGTGTGCCTGACCACATTTTGAAGGTACGAGACCTGGGGTGCTAATTAGAAAGGTTGCCATCTTCTGCAGACCTAACTGTTTGTCTGGCCTATCACTAGAAGTTCTTCATCTTGCACTGAAGACTGCGAGCTGTGCCCGAAGCTCTGCCTCTCCTGTTCTGTGCAGTCAGGGGTTTGGACGCTAAGCCCCCCCGTACGGTTTGGGTGTCTTTGAGCCGGGGCCTTTACTGCTGCCGTCTCCTGGTGCTTCCCTGAAGCAAACCAACTGTGGAGTCAGCCGTTTCCTTTGGGCTCCGCTGATGTTGTTCAGCTTCGTAGTGGCAAACTTGTAGTTTGTAAAGACGGAAGGTTGAGGCGCCTGGCAGCGGCAGCCCAGCTGTGTCTGCAGAGCTGTGACAGTGCGGTGCAGAGAAGAGACCACCAGCCCTGGCACGCTGTCCTGCCCTCCTGCACCAAGCCGCTTCGCTGCTGTACCTCCCCTGCTCGAAGAAATCCCAAGCATTTGGCTCGTGCTTTCAAAGCTCGTAGCTCCATCTGCAGTTCTGCCCAGCCTTTAGGGAAGGGGGAATGCGGGTTCATTACACCTACTCTCTGACGGAGAAAAGTGCACTCTGAGAAACTGTCCCTCAGTTTGTGGCGCTTTGGGGTGGTCTAGCTGTATGTGGCCATAAAAACTGAGGCTTAGGGGTTTCTGAACTCCAGCTGTTCCTTCAGCAGCACTGCAGTTAGGTTTTATTGTGTTACATCTGCAGTAGAGAAGCTGAGAGTTCAGCAGTGATTTCTGACTAGTCCGTGCTTCGTCAGTACCTTCGGTGTTCTGTTGTGTGTGTGTTTCTTTCAACACACAGTACTGTGTCTCAGTTACCTGCACTGTGAGGTCAGCTGCTTTCTGGCGTTCCTATCTAAACCCAAATACTTCCCTCACGGATCAGTGACACACGGGTAGCCCGCACAGTAGTATCTCTCGGGACCCTTCCTTCCCGCCCTCTCCTGCCTGCACAAACTTCAGGTTTTTACCCCGGAGCAGGAGAGGATGGGGCTGCACCCCACCCGTGCGGCAGCGCAGCTCCAAGTGCGCGTTTCTTGCCTGACGCGCCGTTCGTGGCACGCTGACCTTTCTTTCCTTCCGATAAGTCAGCTTGCAGCCCCAGAGCCAATATCCAAAGCCCTCCCAACTTTCCATGGCTCAGAAGCCTGTGTGCATACTGCCAGGCTGGACTGTCAGCGTCGCTGGATTTATTAGTTTGTGCTGCTTTGTGTCATGATGACCTGACTTGAACAGAGGGTTTGGTTTTAATTTAGTTCTCTTTTCCCCCTTGGAAGATGAAAAGAAAAAAAAAGTCATATTTTAGGTGTTTTTTATCGAAAAATTTATGATTTTTTTTCCAGTAAATACTGTTAATTATTAGATTGATGTTATTTCATGCAGAATGGCACTGTAGCTTTTAAGATGCTTTGGCAAAAACACGCAGTAAAAGGTGACTGCATGGATAATAATAGCCAAGTTAAAATTTAGCTGGCAGTTTACCTTAAAGAGAAAGTAATCCTCCAGGTCTGTTGGAACCAATGCAGCAGTTGCAGAACTTCAGGAGCAGTGCTGCTCCCTTGATGTACTTTCTCACTCACATTTAGGCATTATTTCCTGCGTTGGGCCCAGAGTGCTCTGCACCAGGTATTTACAGAATATAAAGGACAAGGAGTGGTGAGATTCCATTTCATTCTTGTTTATCATTTAAAACTGGCAGCTGTTGCCAGTGTGAGGTGTGCTCCTTGTAAAAATGCCATCACAAGCCATAGATCATTTTTTTCATGAAAACTAAATTACCCTTTCACCTCTACAGGTACAATAGTTC